CTATGATTCATGTTTTGTAAGGCTAACGGGCTTTTGGATTGTGTCCAGCTCTTTTGTTCTGTGCTGGTTTACAACTGAGGTTTTCAACTTGTGACTTCATGCATGAAACTAGAAGTCTTCCTGAAAAGACATTGGATTTTGTAACAGATGGTACCACAGAGGTCACTTTACAAATGCTGCCTCATTAACATGGAGGGACATTCTTTCTCCTGTTCTTTGTCCTTCAGGTAGGCTGTACCCATGTGTGGGCAAGAAAGACATGCCAATTTGGTAATTGCCACCATTCAACTAGCAATCTTAGCAATAGTTGGCTGTTCTGTCGCTGCGGTTTTCAGATGTCTGAATGCCAGGATCAAGGACATTGTCTCACACTCAAATCAAAGTGTGGTACTGTAACACTGTGGCAAAGCTCCAGGAAGGAGGCTCTGTTGAAGGTGTCAGGGGAGCTGAGGGTGACACGGTGAGCGGTGCCCAGCGGATGCCACATAGACGACATCCCACCTGGCACTGTCACGCACGCCATCAGAATTAGACAAGCCGTGCTAAAATGGAGGCTGGTGTCGTCTAGCATGCAACTGAACTTCTTAAAAGATGATTAAATCTGGCAGCCACACAATGCGCTCTGTTATTCTGTAATCTATTTATATAAGGTGCATATATGTATGTAGACCACTTTTTGTGAGACTAGATATATATTTTTCTCTATCTTTCCTTGCCTTCCATTCTTAAATCCTCTGTGTTCCTCTTTCTCTGTCTCTCCCTCCTTCCCTCCCCTTTCTCAACTCAATTCAGCTGGGCTGCTGGGTTTTTTTTTTTTCTCCACCTGCCAAAGCACACATACAGCAGCGACAATAACAAAATATGAACACAAATCCCTGATAGAAAGCATGAAATCTCACTCATCCATTCTCTCTTTTTGAATTCATGAGCCAGACTCCCTTTGGCTGACTCTTTTCTTTGCAGCCTTGCTAGCTGGTGTGATATTGCATTTGGATAGCATGATAGAAATCTATACCCTGGCTGCAGGGTGATGATGCCCCCTTCTTTTTCCTCTTTATCTGTCCTTTGAGACTGATTTCCCGTTTGTCCACCCTCAAAGCCTTCAGACTTCCTGTCTCTTCTTTTAACCACCACCTTCTTTTTTCCAATTCAGATTATTTCTCAATTTCACCTTTAAGATAGCCACTATATTGCCATCTCCTTTGAGACAGTTCCCCCTCCCTCTGTTTTGTTGTTTGATTTGTTTTAGAGTTTAGTCAAACTTCAGATTGCTTACTCCCTCCTTGCTGAATTTCAGCATCTCTCCTGTGAGGCACGTTGTCTTGACTCAGTCTTTCTCGCTTATCTGTCCTATATTTTGCTTCTGTGTGACACTTGGTGTCTATCTGCAATTTCTTGTCTCAAGCTGCACAGCTGAGCTATCACCTATACTAGTGCTGCCGTTCCATTATTTCTTTAAAGTTTGTTCCTTCAGAGAAGTAGAATATACTAAACAGCCATACAATTGCATGCAATCCAATACGACAAACATGCAACAAATCCTACCATCATCAAGCTTCAGTTTTTGTTGCAAATTTGTCAAAGGTGTTTCACCTAGTAATGGACCGATTCGTCAGTTAGCCGAATAATCAGGCCAATATCTGCCATTTTGGGATAATCTGCATCGACCGATCCCTGCACTCACAAGGCTGATATCAATAAATGACAGGACATCTCATCCAAAACCATTACCGGCTAGCGTTAAATATATATTGTTATACTGTTGAGAATGTAGAGTGATGTCACTTCTGACAAACTGTACCCCACTCTCCCTTAAACACCGGTCACATTCTCAAATCTACAGCATCACCCAAAGTATTTTTCTATTTCATCAATGTATTAAACTTTCATCTAAAACAACAGGTTACTGGCTAAGATAACACATATATTAGATTGTACTTTGCATAACAATGGAATAATGGAATTATACATGACTTTTCTTTGTTTTGAAATATCAGCCATTAGTGCTGGACTCGAATATTCAACCGTTGGGTACACATTCGATTTTCAATTTTGAGATTCGAGTATTGGGGGGGGGGGGGGGTTCTCGCCTGACCTCCGCTGGCAGCAGTGAACGTTACGCTCCAGTTCACATCAAAGGGAAAACTAAATGAAACCCTCAGCTGTGTGGGAGCACTTTAAACTGAGCAGTAGTGGAAGTTACGGCGTTTATTAATTTTACAATTGCTTAATTTCATTACACATCAAAACAGTCAAATTTCCTACATTTTAAAATTAATCAGTAGCTAAACTGGAAACGAACAACATAATGAACACATCTAAATAATTATATGATGCCGGTTGTAGAAGAGCATTTAGTCGCTATAATAAAAGTTAAATGTGAAATTTGCATAATAACGTGTTAGATTTATCCTTCTTCTGCTGTTCTGTTCCATCTATGAAATACATAGTTTTAGCTCTTGAAATGGACAGCCTGCTTATCAACACACATTTAAACAATTGCCATGAAAAGCCCATATCAGTCGACCGCTAGTTTCAACTCCTGTGGCGCTGTAGATGATGTAGTCTCTGTGTCTCTCTAACTTGATATGCTTTGGTTTGTAGAGTTAATACACCTTTACTTGATGATGTTGAGTAGCAAGCCAGCTTCGCTATTATTAGTATTTTCCGTAGAGGAATAAACGCAGCTGAACAATGAGGGATCTGACATCTCATTCAGTTAATTCAGTTCAGTCGTGTAATTAGTTCTCCATGTGTAATTGCAACATATATGTCATGGGACTGTACAGAATCTACACTGGTCTGTTTTGATGTGGCATTTCAATGAGACTTATATTCACCTGTCCTTTCATCCACCCCACCCTCTCCCTAGCAGTTTATTGGAACGAACAACTGTATTTTTGTCCTTTCCTTCTCTTTCATTTATCCTAAATTTCTGTGGGCTCTTTCTCTCGTCACGCTTTTCTCTTTCACTTTGTGGCACTCCCAACTTCCACTCTTCCACTCTTCCCCTCCTCACACTTTCTTCCCTATTTCCATACCCAGGTGTATTTCTGTCATGTACACACGTTCTCTCTCACTCTGTCAGTGATGCATTTAAATACCTCCCTCTCCCCTCTCTCTCCCCACCCTTTCTTTCCTGCTTTTTCCTTGAGGACCGTTTGAGCCCACCCCTCTCTGCTTTCACCCATCCTTCTTTTATCTCCATCTCCCAAGGTGATTTTGGTGAAGCCTGTCTTTCCTGTTCTCCCTCAATCATTTTCCTCCCTCCTTCTGAAATTTGAGGCCTCATTCCTATCTTAAAATCCCCCCGTTCTTCCCTTCTGGCCCCATCCATCACTCAAACTATTAGTTTCTCCTCCCCCCATTTGTCTCTTTTCCCCATTTACCCTTGGCTTCCATCTTCCATTACTTCCCCTTAAACCTTTTGGTTATGCCTGCACACAGTTTTTCATATTCTCCAATCAGCCCGTCTTCCCTGTCCTCTTCCTGTCATATGATAGTTAGCTCTCTTCACCCCTCCTCAATACCACTAACAACTTAATACCATCTTATCTGAGGGAAACTTAGTGATGAGTGAAATCAAAAATCCAGAAACTCTTCTCCTCTTCCCAAAATCCATCTTGCTGTCACTGTTTCAGTTGTGTGGTAGAAACCACCACACACACAAATGTTCATCAGTCTACAGTTTTAAATTGCTAGCATAATTCATGTACTGTGCAGTAGTATGGTGCATGTAAGTGCTCAAAGTAGCTACAACACAAGTTCCACTGTCATATTAATCAAGGAAAGACTCCTATCTTGCGTCCATCCATCTCAGATTCATTTACTCCCCGTCTTCATTCTGACCTCCTGCTTCTGTTGATGTTAGCAGTTTTTGAGGGTATCAACAGTTTCACCGTACTAGCACAGAAGGTGTAAAATTTGTGATTCATCATTTTTCATGTAAAACGAAAAGGTTTGTTTTATAGGAAGGCTTTGATTTGTTCTTCCTTTTAATCTTTTTGGCTTTCTTTAGCTGTTACAAGAGTCTACAGTAGTACTCCTCCTTTGTTTTTGCTAGGCCCACAGCTGATGTATACAAATTGGCTCACAGCAACGCATAGCAACACTGAGCAAAGATTGGCAGGTTTGGGCGTGCAAATTAGTTTTTCACCTCGTGTTTCTCTCCGAAATGTTACCCAAACTTATAAGGCAGCATGTGGCAGTGGTCTACTTAAATAATTTGTGATAACAAGAACAGAATTGCAGCCCTTAACCTCCGGTCTTTATAAATGTTTGATTATTTATCTCTCTCTGAGAGCATGGTGAATAAACATGGACAGTGAAGGGTGAGGGGATCTCATTTTAAATGCAAAATGGCATGGGTTTTCTGAAGATTTCAATCTTACTTGGCATGTAAAATGGCATGTCCCATCAGGATCCCTTGTTACTTCATCGGACGTGTTCATTAATACTGGCACATGCTAGATTTGCTATGCAACATATATCTACAGCAACAGTTAGGGACACTTATTTACTTTCAAAAGAAGCTATCCTCCAAATTCCCCTTTATTCCCCCAAATGTTCATCCCCTTGTCGTCCCTTTCTACTCTCATCCATATGCACTGACTTATCTACCTGTTGGCTTTTAATGTCATACAGTGATGGAGATAAATTATTAACTACCTTTGCCCCTCTATCCCTTCATCTGTCTCCCCATTCATCCTTCCCTTGAGCTATCCACCCGCCCATGTACAAGGTGAACAGTTGCACTAGTGAAGTGTCGTGCTGTAATGGATAAATATTTAAGGCGTTTTGCATGAAAACAGGATATCCACCTTTGCAGGGAGGAAGACACTGACAGTCAAAAAATGATTTGTGGTTGCGTAGAGGAGAAGCTATTACTGCACGAAGATAACGGATATCTGTTGGAAAGTATCTAAACTAATGTAAATAACATTTCACATTGGCTCTCGTTGTTTGCATAGTGAGTATTGCATAGCAAACTTTTAACTCACCTGTAGATGAGGGTCTCGTCTGCGGTGCAGTTGTACTGTATCTGATACATCCAGACAACGTAAGCTGCAGACAAACGCCCCAAATCCCATCGGACCTGAGCTGAGGTTGATGTAACCGCTTGTACTCCAACCATCCTTCCTTCCTCCTCGTCCCCCTCCTCGTTCTCCATGCTCCCTCCATCGACCCGCTCCCCTTCGGTGGCCCTGCTATTGTCACCCTCATCATCCTCACTTCCAGCTGTTCTCCCATCGTCCACCTCTCCTCCACGTCCTGCGGCATTGTTAATACCTCCATTTTTCCCCGTGCTGATATCCGAGGAACCCGGATCAGTCCGTAAAATCCCATTGGTCACGTTCCTGTTGTTTTTGGTGTTCGCATTGTTATTCCCTGTGTTTCCGCCTGCTCCGCCCCGGTGAGGCAGGGGGATTATTTTCAGGTCCACAGTGGCAGTCGCTTCACCTGCTGCGTTTATTGCGATACATGTGTATGCCCCGTCATCCCGGGCAACTGTTACTAAGATATCCAACGTCCCATTGCTGAAGGAGCTGGTCCGGGATGAATTTGCAATGATGCGGTCATCTGGTGAAACCCAGTGGACTACTGGCTCAGGGTCGCCAATAGCTCTGCATTTTAATGTGGCTCGCTGGCCCTCCAGCACCCACAGCTTGTGAGTGTGACGGGTGATGAGAGGTGGTTCACAAGTAAACTCCTCCTCAGGAATCGACCAGAAATATCTGAGACAAAGGGAGATAAAAGGGGAAAGCAGAATCACCTTTTTGGCTAAGTACGGAAATTTGTCTTGTGTTATGCTTTCAAAGTGGCATTGGCAGATTCTTTTAGTACATTAACCTAAAGCTCTATGTGCTCTTGTTTATCATTTTAAGGGTAAAGTTCAGTAACAGAGTAGTGTATTTTCCCATTCTACTGTGCAGAACATTAATTAATGATGACAGTGATAACAGATGACAACAACAGATGCTCATTTTGCTCCTCAGTCCTTTGTTTTCATTCCATACGTTTGACTGCAGGGTTAGACTGGAAAATTCCAGCAGAGAGGTGGAAGTGTGAGGTATCAGAATGACTACAGTAATATCACATCATTGTTTCGAAACTCATTCCTTAATGCCTACCTTTGCTCCAGTTCTATTCTTGCACACACAATGATCTAATTAAGGTGTCATAAAATGTGAGGCCTGTAATTGGATGTATGCTAAAAAAAAAAAGAAGGGCTAGAGCAAAATCTTGTAGGACAGATTGGCCTTGTGACAAGGTTGGGAAACACTCGAGTATGATATTCAGTTAGACTCAATACATCATTCAACCTGTAATTATTCTTTTGCTTCATCTGACCTTGAAGAATGCTTCACTTATCAAAAAGAATAGGTTAAATGTTTGGTTCTAATTTAGACAAATGATCCATTGGCCAATTCATGATGATTACCTTCCAGCCAGGTGAGCAGGTGTGGCACACGTCTCCATGTCATCTCCACGGATAAGCCGCCGTAACCATAGCAGTTCACAATTGCAGTGCAGCGGGTTTCCACCGAAATTTAAGCTTATAACTGCATTGTAGGGGGTGGGACTTATTGCACCTGTCTGAGACCTGAAGATGACAGTAGACAAGGCCATCAGTTCACTTGCACAAATTTGAAAAGCCATAACGGAGTATTTTAATCGCTAGATTTTTAATTAATTTGACTTGTAGATGGATGCCAATGCATTTATCTTACCTCCAAGTCCAATAGCAGAACTATCTTTTTAACGTTTTCATAAACATCTTTTTCCTCCTTGTCAAGGAAGTGTGTTCCCTTTCTTTGTTCAATAGCAACAACTTTGCACATTTGTCACTCAATTTTTATTTATTTTTATTAACTTAGCTATAAAATGAGGTCTTGGCATCAGCAAGTATATAAGAGCTTGCTGCTCAAAATGAGAAAAACAATTGATTGTGAAAATGGTCCACAGCAGGAGGTTACAAACCTACTTAGGAGCAATACTTAACAGTTATATATGTTATAAGCATCTTGGAATAATTTGCTAATATCAAGGAAGAAAACAGGGCTCTGAGCTTACTTAAGCATTTTCCGGAAAATTGTCCCTTTAAAAAATGGGGCTGTAATACCTCACATGGGTGACCGTGATGACAGTATTATTTGTTGGCACTTAGTTGTCACTATTACAAAAGTTTTCTTTTCTTCAACAAAATTCCTTGCCATTACTATTTCCAAAGTTGAGAATGTACGACAAGCCCTATAAAATCCTTATTTATTTACCTTCCTCACGTGTTCCAGTCTGTCGACTGGTACGAGTGAAACCATTTTATACTGTCATGTACAATACTGTATATGGATAATTAGCAAAATAAGTAGTGTATTGAGTAATCTCTGTACAACAACATTGTCTCCCCTGTGTTTCAGTGCTAGAACGCTCCATTTAAAAACCACTTTGGTGGCTCAGTGATAGTGTTGTCTGCCACAGAATATTTCCACTAAGCCACTTCTTAGAGAAACATAAAAGACAAGCTTAAGAGCTACCTTGCAAAGAGGGGATCAGGAGGCAGGGTTCGGAGCCTGTTGGAGGTCATATCCAGTCTTGCAAGCTTATACAGCTCTCCGAAGACTCCTTCCGCGATGTGATCTATCAGGTTATGGTCCAGGTTGAGCGTGTGCAGGCTGGCCATATTCTGAATGGACTCCCATGGTACCCTGTAGCAATGAAATAGAAACACATTTAGGGAGAAATAAGAGAATATCTGTTGAACGCAATGGCAACAGTGAAGACGTATTCACTCTGATGGTTAGTGTCTGTTGTTGTGGGTACATTGACACTGTATAGAAAATTAACCCGATTAAAGGAGGAGTGTGCTGCTATTATTATAGATGAGTTTAATCTGTAAATTCTGAGCACCTCCCCGTGTTATTCTGTGGAAAATAGGAATAAACAAAGACTAATTAAGGGTGACTGCAATGACAGACAACTACAACAGATGCTTGTTTTCCCTCTCAATCCTTTTTATCCGGGTTTCACCAGTCCCATCTGTGACCCATTGCTGTTGTCATTTAGTATTCCTTTTGTGCAGACATTCACTTTAGAACATTTTAGGCAAATTAGTGTGTCAAAACTGATGACTGAGAACCAGCAAAATGGAATAAATGTGAAATAATGAATTTACTTTATTTTGGAGTCAGGTTCATACACCTACGCTGTTTTCTTTTTGTGTTCTTTTATTTTTGTTGAGTTTACTACATTGCTAAACAAAAGGGCCCACAGAGTATACTGTACATTTGCTTTGGTTCAAGACTGTAGCATGCTCAGCGCTGAGCACAAATAGAACCTGCTACCACTCAAGATCCCACATAAACAAGTTAATTAAAACCTCATTTGGTTGACAGAATATCTTGCATTGTGTAAATTAATGGAATTAGTTATCTTAATCACTTCAAGTGGAGAGGTAAAGTTGCTAAATATTGACGTTATGTGTACAACAAACAGCAGATGGCCACTGTCTTTGTCCATACAGTAGAATGTCTCTAGACAAAAGGCAAGTGAAGGCGAAGAAGTACTAGGCTTAATGATTTTGTGGTGTAGATCAGAGAAAGACGGGTGAATGAAGCAGGATAGTGTAGTAAAAGGATGCCTCTTTGATATGGTCAAAGTGATTGTCCACAAATGTTTTCATTTTGGTATTAAATAAATTTAAACATGCAGACCTTGACAAGTAACCGGGAGTCAGATGTACTTGGTGAAGAAGCCAACCAATAATATGGTCATAACTTATTTTGTAATAAATAAAGACTTTAGTCCTTGCTGCATTGCTCAACACCAGTGTCCCAGAAAGTTACCCACATGAGATCAGTTCAGGTTCCAAAGCCCAGCTCTGTAAAAGTCTGCTAAAGTCAATTTGAATAAATGTAATCTGCAGGAGACACCAGGTGTCCCGCACTTTCCCTCACAATTAAATTACACAGGTGGGCCTCCCCACGTGGATAATCTCGTCGCCTGCCTAAAAAGGGTTCTCATATGACCTGTTCTGTTTTGAGCACTTTTAACTTTAACAAAATAATCAATGATACAGGCTCATTATGTAAACACTCTGTAACCTCTCTGTAACCTGCAACAAAGGGCGAACAGCAGTTTGATAATGTGTGACTCATTAAAACTCTTTACACTTTTCTTATGGCTTGGTGGAGGTTGGACAGAGGCCAGAGAGCGCCTGTAGAGGAGACAAATGAAACATCTGAATCAGAACTGACAGCCAAAAGGTGCTGAATTCATCAACGCTGTGGGACACTATGAAGAGGAGAATAGGGGAGTGAAAGAGAATATCATCATTGTTCTGATTTATTATTTAGTCCAGAGGAATAGATAGTGATGCTATAAGAGGTCTCCATTGTCCTAGATGGAGATGAGAGGAGTGCTACACAACCACATGGAATAGCAGTGCACACTAATACACAGTGGAGTGAGCTCATCAATTCTTAACAAAATCAAAGTCAAAGAAAATTAGGACCTCATCAAAATTGATTCACTTTCAATTTCCTGAGCTTTTAGTCCTGTCCTCCCAGCCTCAGCAGATTGAGCCGGTTCCTCCTCATCGTGTTTGCTGACTCTTGCGTGATCATATAAGGCGTTTCCCCTGTGCCTTGAAAGTTTGTGAGCTGAGCTGTGCGTCTGCAAGCATATGCTTGAGATAGAGACCTGAGCACAGGGAACTCTAGAGTATTACAGAGTGTTTCTACTTAACAAAGCAGAACAGAGGAGATTGTGTGAATGTCTGATGCGTGTAGGTGCAAAACCTTACCTCCGGAGGTTATTGTAGGACATGTCAAGGTCTTCCAGTGTGAGCAAGAAGTCATCAAAGGCCTGGGAAGAGACTTTCACCAGCTGGTTATTGTTGATGATCAGGTGTTGCAGATTGACCAAACCTGCGAGGTCCCTGGGTCCAAGTGTTGTCAAACGATTACCTGAACACAAATATAGATAATATAACTTAGGAACTTGATTCATCTGAATGTTTTACCAAATTGTCAAATCCACGTAGTTTAAGTCTGCAGGATTGCGGTTATCTTTGAGTAGGATTACTGTTTTGGCTCACCATCCAGATGCAGCGAGCGCAGACTCTCCAGATCAGCAAAGGCCATTGGTCGGATCAGGTGGATGGTATTCCTCGACAGAGTCAAATCTACCAATCCGGTCATGTTGACAAAGTCAATCCCGCCCACTTCCGTGATGAAGTTGTCGGCCAATCGCAGCTCGACAGTGCGCCGGTCAACGTGCGGGGGGACAAATAATAGGCCCTTGTCAGCGCAGAGTGTGCTGAGCGACTCTGAAAGGTTTCGACACACGCAGTGGAAGGGACAGGCCGAGACCACGCCCCAAGTCTCCCCTGCTCCAATCAGAGAAGGCAGCAGGCAGCATGTGACAAGAGTCAGCCAGTGAAACGCCGGGAAAGGGACAGAGTCAGGAAGCGTTCTTTTGGTAGACCTGGGGCAGCCGCAGTGGATGAGACAGGATGAGGAGGGCAAAGATGAGACAAGGAGAGGGGGGAGAAGACAAAGAGAGAGGAAGGATGGAGGGTTGAGAGAGGGGAAGGTGGCCCTTTGTTCGGGGTGGAGGTGTGTGTGGGGCAGGTGTTTTTGTCTGCGGGGATTGAGGGGTGGGGGGACAGGCATGGTAGAACGCCTGGCAATCCACAGACCTGGAGGGAGACAAAGGGGGAGAATGGGGAGAAAGCAGAATGGGTTTAAGATGCAATCACTGGTCAGACATTGTTTTTATGAGAGAGATCTGAAGTGTGATTTTGTGTCTGGACTTCTCTGACTAGACAGAGCTGGAAAGTCTTTTCTGCACACATTCATACTTGTGTGGGCCAAGGCCTCCTCTTAAATGAGGACCACTCTGCACTAATGCCTGCTTGGTGCTTCATAGCTTAACACTTTGAGGAAAAACCATATTGAGAAGCAGTTGACCCCCTGCAAGAAATACCTTCTTGGTCTATTTCTTACATACATGTGCGCACACACACAGTCCCACGTACCGCTTCACCACTACAGCTTATTGCCTAGCAACAACATCCCAGAAGACTGAACACAGCCAGTCCCCATAGTAACAGTTACCTAGAAACCTGTAGGAGAGGATTAAACAAGTGTTATATCATCGGACGCTTTCTTAAGACCGTGGGTCAGGCAATCAAATTGGGTCACCAGCCTATCGGCCTTGATTCCACAGCAAGACTCAAGTCAAGCACAATGTACAACAGTGTTCCATTGTAATCTCAGACATGCAGAAAATCTTCCAGTAAACATACGCTTTGTGCACAGACATCCCTGAATACAGCTATGTGACGATAAGGTATCGAGATGAGTCACTGCAGCTGATTGGCATACATAATAGTTGTCATAGAGACTGTAACCTAGATACAGAGAGAGTGACAGCGAGTGTTGATAACAGTCACAGCCGCGGTGACTCTGGAGAAGAGACAGAGGATGAGGCGATGAGTCAGAGACGGACACAGAGACTAACATCATCGTGGAGAAAGACGGTTGTATTTTAATGTGGAGCAATCTGGGACCTTGCAGAGTAGAGCTTGGTGATGATGTATAATGTATGCAACCTAATACTTTGAGTAATGACCAGACATAACCGTATATCATGCTGACTTCACAGGTTGACGCAGATTGCTGGCTCAATATTTTCCATTACATGCTAGCTTAGCTCTTTCTGCATGAAACTAGCAGAGGGTTTACCATTTAGTTCAGATATTGAAGCGGTGTCGATATCAAAGTACAGGGTTTTCCGGTTTGCACTCTCCTCCCTACTACATGGTTCCCTTTGATCTATTTCCAAAATGTGAGTTATATCACTGTTTTTTAAACACTGTCTGCATTCAGAAGATAAATAAAACTAGTGCTTGAACTGATGATGAATGCTATCTAAGGCTGCCAAATGTTTTCATACAAGCAAAGTGAAGGAAGGAAATAAGCAGTGTCCTTCTTAGATGATGGGAATAGATTATATATGGATTGCTTGAGGATGGTATTATTACTTGGTGGAACATTACACCATTGGGCTTTTAGTTAAGGAGAGAAATGCAGTTTGATTTGACAGGACATAAATACAAATTGAAATTTAGGCTACAATGACTGAAGAATGACTCTTAGAAAACACTGCTTTTGTTGCTTTTTGCTACTTAACTCTAAAGACTTGATGGCTGTTTGGTTACTCTAGGGAGCTATAATGACTACCAGGAACTCGGTACCTTTTTCAAATCAAACCTAAAAATATAACTCCAACACACACTCCATCTTAGCAATGGGATAGATTGTTATTTCCTTATGTCTGGGGGGGGGGGGGACAAAGTCACGAATGCCTGCAGTGACAGCCAGTCCCCGGGGCAGTCGTTGGAAGTTGACTGCTCCTGAGCTCCTGTGGAGGCGTGCATACTAAAATGTGAAAATTCTCAGGCAAAAGTGAAATGGCGCTTAAAAATGTGTTGACTCTGTGGCAACCCCCGAAAAGCCCTAACGTCTGGTGGTGGTGTAGAACGAGCAGAGCACTTCTGTCCTACCCCCGTGCTTTGCTAATTCTTGCTCCTCAGACAGCTTACTTTACCCCCAGCACACTGAATGTCAATAGGCTCACGCGCACTCCTGTTGGGCGGTCTGTGTCTCCACTCCTTCATTTGACCTTTTATCTTTTTTCCTTCCTTTTTACTGTCTCTGCTCTGCACTTTCTCGCTTGTGCTTTCTCGTAATAGTTTCCTGCTCTTTCTCTCATTTTCTCTTATTCTTTAATTTTCAGCTCTCCTCTTTCCCCATGTGAAAGCCTTCACATTGTTTTCCTTGTGTCGTGCCTACCCACAACTTCACCCTCACCTCCCTGCTCTTACCTACCTCTCTTCTTCTTCCTCTGACTTTATTATTAGGGATTGTTCTTTGTTTCCTACCCATCTATCCTCTACCATTTATCTGTCACTGCAGTGCACCTCCCTGTGTTTTCTCTTTCACAATCCTGTCTCTCCATGCTCAACTTCCATCTTATAACCCTTTCCACCTATGGCTGCTCTGTAAATTTCTGCAGTTTCTTTCTTTGTCTCATTCCCTCTGTCTTTCTTTCTCTGTCTTGTCTGCCCTTGAGGCAACCTGAGTATGACAATGTTATCAGTCATACCTCTACCTCACCACCTTCTCCCCTCTTTTTTCCCCCCTCCATCACCACTTCCGCCTCTTTCTTTTTGTCTTGTCTTTGTATCGCTTGCTGACTCTGCTGCCCTCCATGTCTCCTTGCCGCTCCCACTCCTACTTTCACCTACTATGCACACTCACACATCCTTAGATCCTACGTGACACACATGATTTTGTTCAATCCTCTGCTATCCTCTGCCTGTCTCAGAGGCATGCTCCTTCTTGCTCTACCTTTCCTTCTTCACCTCCTTCATTGATCTAACTTTCTCACCCATCTTTCCTCCCCCATCTGCTTCATGTCTTGATTTTTCTATGCCTCCATTTTTCCCCCCATACCTCTTCCTCACTCCTTTCTACTTCCTAGAAATCCTTCTTCTTCCACTTTTGCACCTTCCTCTTCCCTTCATTGTTTGCTCTTTCTCTATTAGGGAGCAGATCTCATCTGCAACTAGAACAGTGCAGAACTGAAGCTTTCTGAGACACACACACCCCCCGATCCGTCCTTTTGATCGATCTGACCCAGAGAGATGGATAGCACCCTGTCCCATTCGTTTACACTCCTCCTATTGCTCTTTCGTTCTCTCAACCTCTTCTTCTATGCCTTCTTTCATTCTTTCTCCTTGTCTTTCCCATTTAAAGGCAGTAATCATACAAGTAATTGATCTTCACAGTTAGAGTATTTGTTACGTTGCTGTCTTTATATAGTGGGGCTTAGTGTCTGTACATTCACTCGTTTGGACACTTGCTGCTCACGTATTGCAGTAGTTTCCAGCATTCAACGCATAGGAGACATGTCACTGTGTTTTTCCAACTGCCGTATTTATGCAGAAATATTCACGAGGATGTGACACAAGTATCTACAGCAGGAGGTACCACAACATCAAGCATTTAAAGTCTTTTTCCATCAGCCTTTTCAATGTTTTTCAGTATGACAACTTTTCTACCTCAGCCTGGCAAAACTTTTTTGAATTTTGCGTCTTCATTTTGAGTAAATGACAAACTATGGAAGAAATTGAAATCTACCAAATAATTTCTCCAACTTAGAGACTTGTTTTTTGTTTGGTTTTTTTAAAGTCATTATTTAAATTTCTCAGGCATTTATTGAACTGCGCTACTGGTCAAAAATAGTTTTTGCACCTAGTATTTATCTTTACCTGCCTCTTTGGTTTATTTCTTGTGCTGCTGCAACACTTGAATCTCCCCTCTGGGGATCAATAAAGCCTTATCTTACACATTGTACTGATGCAGCATACAGGTGCAATACAGTATGTGTGAGTTTCTGCACGTCTGTGTGGACAGTCAGTATCATCAGCTAGTGTCTACACTTAATGTATAACTCTACTGTGCTTGTCTAGTGTGTGTGTTCCTGTGGATAAATTAATGTGACATACCTCTGCACTTAGCAAGCCTTCACTTGCTCTTAAGTTTGCTGCTGAGTTTGCCATTAGAAGGGAGCACACAGATGTGAGCATCCAACTACTGTAAATCTCTTACGCTCACATACACAAAGTAGCGAGCGTGGCTGTATAGCAATAATGCAAAAAGGTCTTTTGTGTCAAGCTTTTTGGGAAGGAAAAACTAAAGGGAGTCGGCCAATGAAAGATGGATGAAAGAGAGATAAATCAGAGGATGAGAGGACAGGAAGGCAGCAAGAAAAGAGATCAGACAAAGAGCAGATGAAAATCCTGTTTGTGTGTGAAAAGCGCATCACATGAAAGTGCATGTGCATTTGGCTTGGTGTTTGTGTTTTGAGTGTGTGTGCTCCTAGGCATGTCTACCGAATGAGCGTCCGCAGACGCTTAGGGTTTTTCTTTTTTCTCCCCCTTTTGTTCCCTCTATTTTGGGAAATCTCCTGCTACACTACCCTGCGTGAACCCTCAACCCTCCAGAGAGCAAGGAACAGGCGAGTGGAGAGAGCAGAAAGGCTGCATGAAGTGAGCGAGAACATGAGCTAAAAGCGTCTGTGGAAGAAACTACTCCGCACCGCTAGTGTTGGAGCACGGCTCAGAGCTGGGAGGCTGATCCTAACTTCACCCTAACTTCCAAAGTTTCTCTTTAAACACCCACCACAGCCCCCAGGAGGGTGCAGCTTCTTTTTATGAGGCCGAACCCAGCTAAATATGAGGCTGCTAATAGCTTTAGAACGATGAACCTGACCCAAACCCATGCAATTAAGAGAAGCTTTAGGCATGATTTAAAAGCTCTGTGTCTGTTTGGAAGTAGCTTAATTTCACATGGAAGACCTATTGCACTTAAAGGCTAAATTCCCTTTTTGGTCTCAGTCTTTAATTCTCTGTGGACTATTATAAATGTCAGGCCCTCTTACTCGGCAGCTACATTTGATAATGTTAAACTCTGTATGCGTGAATTTGCATGTATATTTTCGAATCTGCATATTGGCGTATGTGTTTGTGCATCCTCTCTGGCACACGCAAATGCCATTAGCCTATAATCGACTTAAATCGACTTAGGGAATGTTGCAGTGTTTACAAACAAGGGGATTTGTATTAGCTCT